ATTCCCTGGAACTGGAGTTAGAGACAGTTGTGAGGCACCATGTGGGTGCTGGGAATTGAACCCGAGTCCTCTCTGGAAGAGCAGCCGGTGCTCTTAACTGCTGAGCCCTCTCTCCAGCCCCTTCACCTCACTGTTTTGAGACAGGGTCTCTCACTGAACCCTGAGCCCATCAGGTTGATGATACTGGTTGCCAGCCAGCTCCAGGGATCCTCCTGTCTCCCAAGCCTCTGCAGCTACAGATGTGCTCACTGTATCTGGCTTTTCTACACAGGTGCTGGGGATCTGAACTCAGGCTCTCATATTTCTGGGGCCAAGTACTGTACCAACAGAGCCATATCCCCATTCCCCAGACTATATTATTGTTGATGCCTTCCAAGAAAAAAGTAATAATAATTGAGCCAAGACTGTATTTCCCATGATGCCCCGGAGCAGACAGAGCCAAAGATGATGTCCCACGAGATGCTTCCTGTTTCAAATTGAAGATAACGTCACCACGATGCCTTGCAAAAGACATGGAGGCTAAGGCTTCCTCTCCCATGATGCCTTGCAGTGGGGACAGAAATGGCCACCCTCTGGTGTCCTCTGGCAGATGAAAGGCTAAGATAACGTTTCTCTATTCCACAGTCTGCTCTGGGCCTCAGTGTTGCTGGCTCCCGAGTTGGTCTTCCAGGATCTTTGGCTGCAAGAGATAAAATTGCTTTGTGCTGACTTAAGCAGAAACTGGTATATTATAGGGAGGTTGAATCTAAGCAAAGTCCTGGGTCTCCTGGGGTTCGCCGGGGACAAGAAGGAACCTGAAAGCTGTGTAAATCAGAAGAAACTCCTTCCTGCAGACTCTGTCCCTCCCCGGCCCTCCTGAGCTGGTGTGCACGCATTCAGACCTGCATGCATGTGTGGGCAAGAGGGCAACCTCGGGTGCCATTCCCCAGATGGTGTCCACCTTGGTTTTGAGACGGCCCTCTCACTTCTCACTGGCCTGGAGTAGGCTGGGCCAGCTTGTCGTCAAGCTCCAGGGACACTCTAGTCACCTCAGTGGTGGAATTACAAGCGAGTGCCCCCACACCTCAGGGTTTCGTTTTGTTTTGTTTTTTATTTGACATGGGTTCTGGGCATCGAACCCAAGCCTCAGGCTTATGTGCCAAACAGTATCTCCTGCGTCATCCCCCCCAGTCCTCAAAGTCTCTCTCATATTTCTCCCCTGAGCTTCTTTTTCCCCCCTCTCTCTCCCTTTCCCTCTAGACTGCCTACTTGGACTTCCCACACAGTAGACAGATCCGCCTACTGTGGAGCTAAAGACCAAAACCACTCCAGTCTCTTTTTTTCAGGTTCTCACATCTTAGCTAAAGGATCCACCGCGGCCAGTTCTGCCCACGGCTGGCTCCCCTCTGCTTAGGGCCAGGGAAGGTCACTCCTATCCCGCGGTTCTCAGGAAGCTTGGCCCACTCATCGGGGAGCCAGGAAGCAGACCCCGTGGGAGGGATCTTGCCATAAGTAAGAAGTAACTGAAAAAAAGCCAAAGAAGTTCCCACCGCTTAGAACGTTCTAGTTGGCAAGCAGGATTGCTTCCACACACTCTATATGAGTCACGTGGCCAAGGCTGCACCCAAACTCAGAATGGTTGAAAGTAAAAAGGAAATTGATTTTCTCATATAAAAAGCAGTCGTGAGTTAGGGGAATTCCTGAGTTGATTAACCCAGTGGTTCCAACCAAGTCCTAAATGGCCCAGGCTTGTCTACCTCATGATCCCAAGATGGCTGCCTCCATTCCAGGCATCGCACCCACATTTGGAGGCAATAACAAAGGGGTCATTTACTCTGGTGATTTCTTTGGGAAAATGAAGAAAAACCTGCTCTTGAACATTCAGTGGACAAACCCTGCTTGGCGTTCCATTTCCATGACTTGTTTCACGTACCCTCGTATCATCTCGTTATCAGATGATAACTGTCATTCTTAGACAAGAGCAAAGGGTAGGGGAAGCAGTTCACTGTGCCCGGCTGGTGTTTTCTCCCCCCGGGGAGTGGGCCCGACAACTGCCTCTCCACCATCCACCTGTGCTTGATGGCTGATTTCCCCTCTAACCAGAGGTGGGACCTGTGGTCCTCTCTGATACAGTTAGCATAGTCCCGCCCCCTTGGCCACTGCCTTAGTGGTTCTATCGTTGTGACAAAACACCGTGACCAAAGCACGGGATAAAAGAAAGCCTTTATCAATGAACTGATTCCTAATGATATTCTAGGTGCCTCGCCCAGTGGTCATCAGAGAGGCGTTGTCCAGCAACTGATGGGAGCAGATGCAGAGACCCACAGCCAAACACTAGACAGCGCCAGGGGAACCCCACAGAAGAGGAGGAGGGATTGTAGGAGCCAGAGGGGTTGAGGACACAGGGAGAACATGGCCCAGAATCAACTAAGCAAGGTTCATAGGGGCTCCAGAGACTGAAGCCAAAATCACGGACCCTGTGTGGGTCTGAGCTGGGTCCTCTGCATATGTTATATGTAGCTTGGTGTTCTTGTGGGAGTCCTTACAACAGGAGTAGGGATGTCCCTGACTCTTTTGCCTGTGCTTGGGACCCTTTTCCTCCTACTGGGTTGCCTTGTCCAGTCTTGTAAGGTCTGTGCCTAGTCTTACTGTAGCTTGTTACGCTGTGTTTGATTGATGTCCCTGGAAGGCCTGCTCTTTTGGGGGTGGGGGCGGAGGAGTGGATCTAGGAGAGAGGGGAGGTGGGGGGGGCTGGGTGGAGAGGAGGTGGGGGTAACTGCAATCAAGATATAATGTATGTAAAGAATAAAACTTAAAATAAAAAAAAAAGCCTTGCTGGGCGGTGGTGGTGCACGCTTTTAACCCCAGCACTCGGAAGGCAGAGGCAGGCAGATCTCTGTGAATTTGAGGCCAGCCTGGGCTACAGAGCGAGTTCCAGGACAGGCTCTAAAGCTACACAGAGAAACCCTGTCTCTCTGTGTAAAAAAACAAAATAAATAAAATAAAAATTAAAAAATTTTAAAAAGCCTTTAATTGGGCTAATGCTCAAGTTTGAGTCCATGATAGAGAAGCAGGGGTATGGGGATGGGAACAGCTGGAACTCACATCTTTATGAGCATGAGGCACAGAGAGCCAAGAGGGCATGGGGCCAGTCTTTTGAACCCTCAAATCCACCCCCAGTGACACTCATCCTCCAAGAAGGCCACACCTCCTAATCCTTCCCAAACAGTTCCATCAACTGGAGACCAAGTGTTCACACACATGAGCCTACAGGGGCCGTTCTCATTCAGACCCCCACAGCCATAGAGACTGGCTTGGGGGCAGGCTAGTGGCAATCACCTGAGGCAATGGGACACGAATTTCAGGACTCAAGAGATAGAGGAAGGATCTGGGCTACAAAGTGAGACCCTTGATGTGTTGAGGCAGGGAGGAGGAGGAAGAGAGGTGAGGAGAAGGGGGGCTGGGAGATGGCTCAGTGGTTAAGAGTGCCGGCTGTCAGTCCCGAGGACCAGAGATGGGGGTCCCAGCACACACGTAACGAGTCATGCATGGAGCAAACGCCTGTAATTCCAGCCCCAAGGGAACTGACGGCCCCCTCTGGCTTCCATGGAGAGAGAGAGAGAGAGAGAGAGAGAGAGAGAGAGAGAGAGAGAGAGAGAGAGAAGAGGGGAAAGGAGGGGAGGAGAGGGAAGGGGAGGAGAGGAGAGGGGAAGGGAGGGGAGGGGAGGAGAGGAGAGGAGAGAAAACAGGACATATGACAGCAATTGCCCTGTAGCTTGGCTTGACCTGGCCATCTGTCTATCCTGAGATTGGATGGCTCCCCTCATCTTGAAAGATGGCTGGCAGATAGCCCTGGGGCTAGAGTTACCAGGCAGGCTAGGCAGGGGGGGAGAAAAGGGCAGTTGAACAAAGAAGTCTACTGAAGGAAACTCTTCATAGAAGAGATCCGCTCCCTTACTGAAACGGAGCCTCGTGGAGGCCATAGTGGCCCCAAACCATGGAGTGGAAGCTGGCCTTGAACTCTGGCTGGCTCCTGAGGGCTGAGCCCAGGTGTGTACCACCATGCCCGGCTTCTGTGGTGCTGGGGACGGCCCCGGGTTCTGTGCCTACTGAGTAAGCAAGCACTCCATTCCTTGAGCACACTGGGTCATTCCTCCTTCACCAGCTGGGTTGGGTTTTTGTGTCACTTGCACCAAGACCCTACGGACAGAGTGCCTTGAAGGGACAGGACCTCTACTCTCCCAGGGCCCTGTCAGTGGATGAGAACTAAGCCAGTGTCTCCCAGAGTACCCACAAGCTGGGGGAGAGGACATCAGCTAGGGACTAATGGAGGGGGAGCCCACCTGCTTGTGTAGGGAGGAGGTCACTATGAGTTACCCCCTCGTGGGTCTTGAATGCGTGCCAACAATTTCTGTGTTGAAAGTCCATCCTGGGCTGGGGAGCCAGATCAGTCAGTGAGGCGCTCAGTGTGCAAGCTTAAAACCCTGCATTGGAGTCCCAGAACCATGTGAAAAGTAGCCAGACACGGTGGTGTGTGCTTTTAATCCCAGGAGCTGGGAGAGGGACAGGAGGAAGCCAGGGGCTGGTTGACCAGGCGGTCTAGTCTAGTCGATGAAGGTCAGGTAAGTGAGGGAACTTATCTCAAAGGGAAGGAAAGGTGGGCACAACCACGGACTGACGTCCAAGGTTATCCGTCCTTCATCTGCCATACACAGGTGCACGCACAGGCCTGTGCCCCTGCACACACGGGAACATGCACACATTCACACAGAAACACACATATACATACATGCACACAGAAATGCAAACATACACAAGGACAGAAACACACACACACATTCACACAGAAACACATTCATGCAGAAACACACACACATATACACACATCCACACAAACACACACACACATATACACACAAAGACAGAAACACACACAACACACACATTCACACTGAAACAAACACACCCACACACATTTGCACACAACACACCCACATAACACACACATATACACACAAAGACAGAAACACACACAACACACACATTCACACTGAAACAAACACACCCACACACATTTGCACACAACACACCCACATATAACACACATTCACACAGGAACACACACACACACTGGAGAGACATTTAATCCCCTTGTGAGCCATTAAGAGGATGGGAACTTAATCCAACTACGGTGCTCAGAGGTGGGGCCGGTGGGGCTGCTTAGGATCAATGAAGTCATCAGGGTGGAGCCCTCATGATTGAATACTGGCTGCTGGATAAGACGGGGAGAGAGACCGGGAGAGGCATGTGTGCTCCCTGTCTCCCACCATGTGACACCCCTTGGACTCCCAGCAGGACGGCCATCAGCCGATGAAGCCCAGAGTTTGTTTGCCAAAGCCCACCTCCTTCCTTCCCAACTCATCCGGTCTCTGTCATCATGACAACAGAAAACAGGCTAATATACCCTGAACAAGTATCCCTGAAACAGTCTCACACATCACTCTCACCAAGTCACAGAGGGAACCCCGTTCCCCAAGCTAAGCGGTAAAGAGACTTGGAAAGGAATGATGCTGCTCACAGCTGTGGGTCTGGAGTCTTAGCAGAGAGCTGTGGTCTGGAGGCCCGAGAGGATGCTGGGAGCCATGGTCCAGAGGACACGATGCTGGAGCTGTGGTCTGGAGGACCGAGAGGATGCTGGGAGCCATGGTCCAGGGGACACGATGCTGGAGCGGTGGTCTGGAGGACCGAGAGGATGCTGGGAGCCATGGTCCTGGGGACACGATGCTGGAGCTGTGGTCTGGAGGACCGAGAGGATGCTGGGAGCCATGGTCCTGGGGACACGATACTGGAGCTGTGGTCTAGAGGGCCGAGAGGATGCTGGGAGCCATGGTGCCGGGGACACAGGAGTTGATGGGAGTTTTGGGACTGAGGACAGAGAGGATGCTGGGATCTGGGCCCTGGACAGGAAGTGTGTTGTGTGATGATGACCCTTGGTTGACCTGGATATACAACAGTTTAGAAGTGATGGAGAAAAAAGAGGAGAGCTTTTCAGGTGGACCCCGTCTACTTGCTGGCCTTGAGTCCTGTGAGTGGTTTTCCACTCTTCTGGGTCCTATGGGTCATGAGCTTGCTCCAGGCCACCGGTGTCCACAGGAGCGGGCTCAGGAGAACCCACGCCCAAGAGAGAGAATGGACCAAAGTCTGGAGGGGTGAGTCAGCCTCCAGGTTGGGGAACGGAACCGAACCGGAAAGGCAGAGTGACACAGACAGACTGGACCAGACGGTGGGGAGAAGGGTGCGGAGCCCGGATGCCACACCTGAAAGGTTGCCCCAGGGGCCTCTCCCTCCCCAGGGCCTAGGACTAAGACCAGTCCGGTTAGCTTTCCAGTCCGGTTAGCTTTCTGGGGGCCCCTCCCAGGGAAACAAGACTAAAACTTGAGGTTTCATGGTCAGGACTAGAGGAAGGGAGCGAACCCCATTCGATGCCCTGCCCAGAGAAGTCCACACTTGCCCAGCCACCCGGCCCAGCCTCTCACGCTTTGCTACTCACCTGCCCACATTCACTTCTGCTGCATCACACTCCTCTCCCTCAAAGCTCACACTCACAGCAAGCAGCACATGCCAGCACCTCGCATCTTCGCGCGCTTCCGAGCATCGCCCTCCAGCGCCTCTCCAGAGCATCTCCCACGCACCCCCTGTGGGTCGCCTGTGCATCTTCTGCACAAACCCTGAGCATCTCCCGTGCGTCTTCCATGCATTCCCCCGTGTATCTCCCGCGCCTCTCCCACGCATCTCTCGTGCATCTCCTGCGCATCTTCCGCGTGCCTCCCGGTTCAGCATCCTCTGGGGAGCCCCACTCGCCCTGGCTACGCCTGCGCGCACACGCACGCACACCCTGCACCTTCACACGACCCTCCCGACCTTCCGCTCTCCTGAGTCCTCCCCTTCTGGCTCCCACGACGCCGTCACGCTCACACCCAGCCCGCGCGCCCGGGTCCGCGCGCTGTCCTGCGCGCGCCCCCCAGTGCGCGCCCTGTCCGCGCTCCCGTCCTCCCTCTCCCCGC